ACACCCGTGCCCACGTCACGCAAACTTCAGAACAATGACAACCACCCAGTCCTGACACGCTCACCCAAGGCAGGAGTCCAGGGAGCCTCCCCAGGTGGGACACCTGTGGCTCGCACACTTGAGGCTTCCACATGCAGGGGTGTCCTCATCCACCCCCTCCCTCCCTCCCCAGGGTCAGTGGGCAGCACAGGCTGCCTCAGACCACCAGCCCCATCCCCCAGACCACTCAGTCTATGCTGACTGTCTGCATGGGGGAATTGCGGGAACAGCAGGCACCCGGAAACCCACCTACCCAGGCACCACCACAGCCCCACCCCTCCTCACATCCATGACAGGGACAGACACACAGAACTCATCTCTGCTCCTGTCCAGTCCCCAAGTTCAATCCCAGCCCATACCCCTTGACCCACAACTCCCCACGTCTTCCCTCCCCAGCTGCAGCCTGGATCAGCTCCTTGCTGCTCTTGCTCCATGGAGGCAGGTTCCAGCCTTTCTGTCACTGCCTGGGACGCTCTCCCTTCCCTCTCTCCTGTGAGCCCAGACCTAGCCGTCCACCTGCCAAAGTCACCAGCCACCTGCTCCCCTCCATCTTCCCTGCCTCTGCCCATGGAGGTGACAGCCCCTCCTGGATCACCCACTGCTCAGTGTGGGCCTTGGGTGTAATCACAGGTTCTGCAGGGGTCAGCTGGGCTCAGGTCACCTGTGGGACCAGGACCCCCAGAGGGACCAGCAGAGGGAGCTGCTCAGGGCGTCTCAGGGGCCCTGGTATCTGGTCTACACCAGGGGTGTGGCCAATAGCTCTTCCTGAAAGGATGAGTGGCGGACAGAGGGTGGACACAGGGACATGGGAGCTTTCTACTCACAGAATTATTCCCAGAAAGGAGAGGAGACGGGAGATGGACGTTCTCATACACTCCTGCAGACTGCTGTTGACCAGTGTCCACTTCTGAGAGCGTCCCCGAGCTGGGACTCTGAGAAGGCAGGACTGCGCCTGTGCTGCCTCTGCTCAAGCCAGCGACCAGCCCCCAGCCTGGCACAGGGTGTCCCATAAAAGCATGTGGAATGAGTGAGATCCAGGATCCACACTGCACACGGGAGAGACAGGTACGAGGATGGTCACTGCAGCATGGCCTGTCAGTGCCACCAGGGAGAAGCAGCCTCAAGCCCGCAGAGGCATGTGGGTAGAGCATCAGAGTGTAGCCATGCAGTGGAATAGTGGGGACCAGTGAAACACATGATTGGAGCAAATCCTCATGTACTAAGGAAGCATGTTTTTATAAAATAATGTTACCAAGCAATAATATAATTCAATAATGTTTGGCTACAAAAACTATGAGTGGGACAAATGAGAAAGTGTAGGAGGATTCACACCAGCTCAAACAGTGCTCACAGCCTGGAAACTGAGCTGGGGCAGAGGCGGAGTTCGGGGTCTAGACACCTTATTGTACATGTTTGCATTGCTGGAATTTACAGCAAACATGCTTTCCTATGTGATTTCTCAAACAACAGATGAAGCCATTTGAAATGACCCAGGAAGAGTGTGACATCCTCAGGGCTCAGAGCCCAGACCTCCATCCTACCCCCGCACTGCTGAGTCCCCTCTGATACCCTCAGAGCAAACAGCCCCTTAGGTGATGTGACGGGAACATGACGGCCACTCTCTGAGCCAGAAGAACATGGCCAAGGTGCCACTGCAGGGAAAGGCCTCATGCCCATGTCACCCTTGAACTCTCTGTGCCCCAGGAAGATCCAGGGGGTCCTAAGGTGGCCTGGCCCTGCCCTGCAGAAAGAGGCCATTGTCCATGTCTGCCCAGTGGTCAGTGGCCAGAGCACTAATCCGAACCCTGATCTTTGCCTGGTGCAGGACCCAAAAGGTCCTGAGCCCTGACATGGTCACTGTGCCTCATTCCTGATGGAACTGTCTATGGCTCCCACTGTCTGCAGGACCCGAACCCCACCCCCACCCTGCAGGTGCCTCTGGGTACTCGTTGGCCGCACAGCATCCTGCCCCAGTGATAATTGTGCCCTGAGTCCTCAACATCCCCACTGAGCTTATTCCGGAGATAAGCGTTGGCAGACCTCATGCATGCCAATGGCTGTGGCCCGATTTAAAAGTAATTACAAGAAATGTGGGTCCAGCATGGTGGCTCACTCCTATAACCCTAGCACTCTGGGGGGGTCAAGGCCGGGAATCGCTTAAGGTCAGGAGTGGGAGACCAGCCTGGGCAAGAGCAAGACCCAGTGTCTACTAAAAATAGAAACAATTAGCCATGCGTGGTGGCATGCGCCTGTAGTCCCAACTACTCCGGAGGCTGAGGCAGGATAATTGCTTCAATGCAGGAGGTTGAGGCTGCTGTGAGTTAGAGTGATGCCATGGCACTCTAGCCCAGGCAACACAGCAAGACTCTTTCAAAAAAGAAAAAAAGAAAGAGGCCGGGCGCGGTGGTTCACGCCTGTAATTCTAGCACTCTGGGAGGCCGAGGCAGGCGGATTGCTCGAGGTCAGGAGTTCAAAACCAGCCTGAGCAAGAGTGAGACCCCATTTCTACTATAAATAGAAAGAAATCAATTGGCCAACTAATATATATAGAAAAACTTAGCCGGGCATGGTGGTGCATGCCTGTAGTCCCAGCTACTCGGGAGGCTGAGGCAGGAGGATTGCTTGAGCCCAGGAGTTTGAGGTTGCTGTGAGCTAGGCTGATGCCACGGCACTCACTCTAGCCTGGGCAACAAAGCAAGACGAAAGGAAAGGAAAGGAAAGGAAAGGAAAGGAAAGGAAAGGAAAGGAAAAAGAAAAAAGGTGCACTGAAATAAACGAAGCAACAAGGCATCAGACTGTGCAAATCTGAGTTTAGTGTAACCTTGTTCAGGAAGACTAGGATCAGGAAAGGCTGTGAGGCTGGATGTGGTGGTGGCACATGCCTGTTATCCCTGCTGTTCAGGAGGCTGAGGCGGGTCGCAAGGAACCCTTGAGCCCAGGAGTTTGAGGTTGCAGTGAGCTATGATGATGCCACTGCACTCTAGGCTGGGTGACACAGCAAGATCCTGTCTCCAAAAACAATAAAAGAAGGAAAGACTCTGAAAGAAAAGATATGGAATGTGATGTAGCATTGCAATTTTGTTTAGACACATGAAAAATGTATAAAGGATGATTTTTTTTTAATAAAAATTGCTTGTCATATTTTTCCTTCTACATTTTCCTCACTGTCCACCAGAGGGCGGCAAAGTCACCCACAGCCCAGAGTCTCCGGGGGCCTGACCTCCCCCGGCACCGCCCACAGCAGCCAGATCAACTCAGTCTACTTTGTGACCTACAGTTGAATGGTCAATCTCGTGTCCCTAAATCCTTGGATTTTTCTACTCAGATGTCGAGGGTTCTGCAAGTGAGTTTAATGAGGACTATCTCACCAGGGTGAGTGTGTTTCACATGGTGGATTTTTTACCTCAAGACTTTTTGTTAACTGTGGTAATATATATCTAACATAAAATCTACCATTTTAACCATTTTTAAGTGTACAAATTAAATGAAATTAACTATATTTACAATGTTACATGACCATCGGCACTATTTTTTTCCAGAAAATTTTCATCACCCCAAGTAGAAACTCTACAGTCATTCAATCATAACTCCCCCATTCCTCCTGCCCCTAGACCCTGATAATCTGTAATCTATGTTCTGTCTCTATGAAGTTGCCTGTTCTTGATATTTCATACAAATAGAATCACACAACATATGTCACTTTGTTTCTGGCTTATTTGCTTACTACACTCATGTTGTATTAATAGCATGTGTCAGAGCTTCATTCCTTTTATAGCTGATTAACATTCCGTTGTCTGTTTATACTGTATTTACTTACCCCTTCATCTGCTGATGTGCAATTGGGTTGTTTCCACACCTGACTTATTGTGAATAATGATGCAATGAACATTCCCATGCAAGTATTCATCTGAGTCCCAGTTTTTAATTCTTTGGGTATATATCTAGGAGTGAAATTGCTGCTTCATAAGATCACTCCATGTTTAGCTCTTCCAGGGACAGCTAAACGGTTTCCCATATTGGCTGTGCTATTTTATTCATATATTCCCACCAGGGATGCATGAGGATTTTAAATTCTCCACATAATGCCAACATTATGTTATTTAACATTTTAAAAGAATTATAGCCATTATTATAGGCATGATGTGATGATGTGATATCTCATTGTGATTTTTTTTTTTTTTGAGACAGAGTCTCACTCTGTTGCCCAGGCTAGAGTGCCATGGCCTCAGCCTAGCTCACAGCAACCTCAAACTCCTGGGCTCAAGCGATCCTCCTGCCTCAGCCTCCCGAGGAGCTGGGACTACAGGCATGTGCCACCATGCTTGGCTAATATTTTCTATATAGTTTTAGTTGGCAAATTAATTTATTTCTATTTTTAGTAGAGACTGGGTCTCACTCTTGCTCAGGCTGGTTTGGAACTCCTGACCTTGAGCTATCTGCCTACCTCGGCCTCCCAGAGAGCTAGGATTACAGGCATGAGCCACCTTGCCACCGTGCTTGGCCGTCATTGTGATTTTGATTTGCATTTCTCTAATGATTAATGATGTTGAGAGTCTTTCCCTGTGCTTCTTGACTATTTGCATATCTTCTCTGGAGAAATGTCTACTTAAGTCCTTTGCCCATTTTTTTTAATTGGGTTGTTTTTTTATGTTGTTGAGTGGGTGCAGTTCTTCATATGTTCTAAACATGAAAGCTTTATGATATCTATGATTTGCAAATTTTTTCTCTCATTCTTTGCACGGTCTTTTCACATTCTTGATAATATCCTTTGATACACAAACGGCTTTCATCTTGATAAAGCCCAGTTTATCTATTTTCCCTTTCATTGTTCATACTTTTGTGTCATATCTAAGAATCCATTGACACACCTGAGGTCATCAAGATTTACCCTCATGTTTTTTTCTTCTAAGAGTATTTTATGGGTTTAGTTCTTATATTTAACTCACTGATCTGTTCTGAGTTAATTGTTGAATATGGTGAGAAGTAGATCCCAGAACTTCATGCTTTTGCAGGTGGTTATCCAGTTCTTGCAGCACCATTTACTTGAAAACATTACTCTTCCCTCATTAAATTATCTTCGCACCTGTATCAGTCAGGTTCTCCAGAAAGACAGAAACACTAAGATATAAATATAATTACAGAAACAGAAACAGTTACGGATATGAGAGGGGATTTATTAGGGGAATTGGCTTATGTGAATATGGAGGCAAAGCCGACCCAGGACAAGCTGGGGAGCCAGGGAAGTCGGAAGCACGGCTCAGGCCAAGTCCAAAAGCCTCAGGACCAGGGAGGCGATGGTGTGACTCTCAGGCCTGAGAACCTGGAGTTCTAATATCCAAGGGCAGGAGAAGAAAGTGTCCCAGCTCCACAGGGAGAGAGAGACAGATAGACAGACAGACACACAGACAGACAGACAAAGAGAGAATTCACCTTCCCTCTGCCATATTATTCTATCCAAGCCCTCAGCTGAGTGGACGTTGCCCCCTGCACCCTGCACTGGATGGAGGTGGGCAGCCTGGGGACACAGTGAATGGGACCCGGCTGGCCTGACCCTGCACTCTCACCAGGGGTCAGCGCCCACCCCTGCCCAGAGAGTCAGGGCCAGCTCACACCCTTGGGAGGCTGCTCAGCCTCTCTGCGGCAGCCCTTACATCCCTTTTCCTCCAGGGGGCGACATCGGGACACCGAAACACTTAGGGAATTAATTCCCCCATGGAAAAATCTAGCTTTGGCTGAGGAGGTAGAGATGGAGTCTGATTTCCATCCCCTGCTCCAGTAGACCCTTCTGGTACTTCCCACATGCCTGCTGTGTCCTGCTGGATCCTTCCAGGGGCCTCTAGGTCCCTTCTCTGCCAGGGGTCCCTGTGCACTCACTCCTGGCACCCTCCATGGGGAAGGTGGGGTGACCATAGGAAGGTGAGCCGGACAGAGGGTAGAGACCACTCAGGACAGTCAGGGAGAACATGGACAGGCCTGAGCCAAGGAACAGACACCAGACACAGAGAGGGAGTGGCTCCCTGAAGCCCTCCCCCAAGGACAGTGGACCCCAGAGGCCCCCCACCTCCCTGCACCACAGTCTTCTCTGCCCAGGACACCACCCCCCCACACCCAGGAGCTGCAGCCCCTCCTGACACTCCCAGACCTGGGGCTCTGTCTCTAGGTCACAGGATAGGACAGTGACTCTGGAGATAGAATCAGCTGCCCTTTCAGGCCCCCAGAGCCTTCCCTGCCACCAGCCTGCCGGGTGTCACCCTGCTCCCCAGCGCACTAGGGAAAACCAGAAGACCTGGAGCCCAGCTGACTTTCTGTGTTGCAAAGAGAAATAAACCCCGGTCTGATCCACGGGCTCTCTGTGTGGCGCTGACAGACCCAAAGCCAAGACACAGGTCAGTGCTGGGGAGAGAGGATCCAATCAGCCTTGCTTCTCAAAGTGTGGACTGCAAAAGCAAAACACAGACACAGGGAAAGGAGGAGGAGGGACAAGGAGGCAGGATTGAGAGGGGAGGGGACAGGGAGGTGCCCTGGGCACAGACCCCGCCCCTGACACACATGACCAGCCAAAGTTCTGAGCCTGGGAGGAGGCTCAGCACAGAGGGAGGAAGGACAGCAGAGCTGACTCGTCGGAGCAGCTGTGCTCGGAGCGTTCCTGGAGCTGAAGCTTTTCTGCACAGAGGACAGAGCAGGCAGCAGGGACCATGGGGCCCCCCTTGGACTCTCCCGGCGGACGGCGAGTCCCCTGGCAGGGGCTCCTGCTCACAGGTGAGAGGGATGATCCCTGGGGATTGGTGCGAGGAGGGAGCACAGACACTGGCTGGGGTCTCCTGGGAAGGACGGGGCTCTGAGAGGGACAGAGGACTTCTGCTGGAGCCTGAAGAGAGGAGGGGACACCAACGGAAAAGAGGAGGTCACAACAGGGAAGTCACATTGAACTGGAATTGGAAAGGGGCAGGACAGTCTCAATTGCTCTGTGTTCTCCAGGTTCGTCATCAGTGGTCACTACATTGGTAATACATTGGAAAATGGTCAGAACTATAACAGGGTGACACTTCAAGTAAACATAACGAGGGGCACAAAACATGGCCCTTACCCACCAGTGTCAGATATTATCTTTATGTTCATTGTAAAATAAACAGCAAGACATGGTGGGCCCTGGGAACGCTCATTCACTCACCCACAGGTGTCCGCAGCCTGTCCCAGGCTCTGGGACACAACAAAGGTCAGACACGTCCTGAGCTCATGGAGCCCACATCCTAGAGAAAGGAAGACAGACAAGCAGACAGATCTCGAATGTGAGGCCAGCTGTGGACAAGAGCCACGGAGGGAACAGGCAGGGAAAGGTCAGGAAGGGAAGACCCAGGGTCCCTAGAGGAGGTGTCCAGGGAAGGTCCCTCCCAAGGACGCCCCTGAGTGTGAGCAGGGATCTGAGGGCAGTGGGGGGTGAGCCGTGCAGACACCTGGGAAGAGGATTCCAAGCAGGGGCATGGCCAGTCCAGAGGCGCTGGAGTGATGGTGGTCACACTGCTGACCTTGACCCAGAGCACACACTCACACACGCACTCACAGACACTCACACTCACACGGTCACATACACACACACACACATACACACACACTCACAAACACACACACACACCCCAAGGCTGAGGGTGAAGAGACCTGCTCCAGACCCAGGTCCCATCTTTCCATCCCAATTCCAAGGTCCCAATATGGATTGATTCTCTCTCCTCCTTCCTAGTCTCACTTTTAACCTTCTGGAACCCGCCCGCCGCTGCCCAACTCTCTGTGGAATCCGTGCCGCTCAATGCTGTGGAAGGAAAGAACGTTCTTCTAGTCATCCACAATGTGCCACAGGATACTTATGGCTACAGCTGGTACAAAGGGGACAGGGTGGACAGCAGCTATCAAATTATATCATATGTAACAGTCAGTCAAGCAATCAGCACGGGGCCTGCATACAGTGGTCGAGAGACAGTTTACCCCAACGGATCCCTGCTGTTCCAGCACGTCACCCTGAAGGACACAGGGTACTACACTCTACAAGTTACAGGGAAAAATCTTCAAAATGAAGAAGTGACTGGACAGTTCCACGTGTTTCGTGAGTGCTTCCCTGTGACCCCTGGGTGTTGGGGGGCAGTCAGTTCTATTTCACACACACGGGGATTGTCAGGCCTGGACTGAGCCTGCCTCCCCCTCTGCATCATGTCCCATGCTAGGGTGTGGGCACTTAGTGCAGGACACACACGGGGGAGACAAACGTCAGAAGATCAGAATCCTTTCCTGCGTCCAGACTGCAGACATTCCCTGCAGAGGAAGGACCAGTGTGACAGGCAACTCAGCAGGGGATCAGTCTCCCTTCAGCACCCTGTGCCCTCCCCATGTACATGGCCCTGACAAGGATCCTGTAGGACCTGGTCAGGGCCTCACCTGAGGGGCCCCCTGGGATCCTCACAGAGAAGGTCAGGCCCAGGACTCCTGAGTCCAGGTGACCTGTAGCCCGTGGCCAGGACTGGGTTTTGGCCTCCTGACTGGGGGGCACAAATTACGAGCTGTCCAAGGGCCATGGCTCCTGGAGCTGGTCACCAGCCAGGGCCTGACCCCACAGCCTCCTCTGGGCAATCACAATGCCCAGAAAGTCACCGAGATTCAGTGTGGATGGCACACAGACAGCCTCCTCAGGCCATCAGCTCACTGCCCTGGGGGACTTAAGAGAACTCAGGAAAGTCAGTGTACTCAGGGGAGGAACTGAGGACAGAGGACACTCCTGGAAGCTCCTGTCCACCAGGGATCAGGCAGGGAGGCTCTCATGGATGCCAAACAATCGATGCTGTTTATTTGGGCAGCTCCTCTGCACGAACCTTTAGGTCAGGTAATTGTGAATATTTTAAGGTTACAGATCATTTACCATGTATCCTATTATACTGAGGGGAAACTGAGGCACAGGGCAACAGAATCATTTAATTAGGGTCTCACAGAACATGACTGAAGATCAGAGTCACAGGAGGCCTGTCTGTAGCCACAGCCTCAACCTCCCTCAACTCCCAGGGGCCTTATTAGGCATTGGGGACCCCAACGCCAGTGGTGGGATCAGCTGCATCTGCAGCTCAGAGGGGAGGTTCCGGTCTGGGGAGTGAGGAGCAAATGGAGAATTAGTCAGTTTCACTCTAGAACTAAATCACCTGCCTCAACAAGCAGAGTCAGCGTCAGGAATGCCCAGGGTCCCCTCAGCCACACCCCCCACTGGACTCTAAACCAGGTGCTTCCCGGTGTGTCCGTCACTGCCATGGAGAGTACAGGAAATGATGTGGCTGTCTCTCCCCACTCACACCCTGCACCAGTACAGAGTCCAACATGTGACACACTCTCAGTAGTTCTCTGATGAAGGAGGGTGGGAATGAATGAATGAATGAATGAATGAATGATGCATGACCTCTTCAGACACTGGATCCTGGATGCAGAATCCTAGGAGGTTCTTACCCTGCCTGTTCCCTGTCCCCTCGGGGGCTGAGACCCAAGCTCCATCCCTCTGACCCCTGCCCCTAAAGCCACCAGGAACTGTCTCATGTGACTCAGGGGCTTCCTGGCTGTGGGGGTTTCAGGTCTCCCTTGTCCTAGTTCTGGGGTCTCTGAAGTCCTGGAACCCCCATGCTCGCTGCCATGGCGTGTCTGGCTCTTTCTGCTCCTCCGTCTCCCTCATCTTCCTCTCTCTTCATTCCAGCCGGGACTGCGCCTGCCCTGCACAGCTTCCACCACCTGCAAGCTTTCCTCTGGCACTTCCACCAACAACAGTTGCCTGTGCTGGTCCCTTCCCACTCCCTGTGGCCAGGCCCATCTCCTAGGCAATAGTAAAGGCAAAGAAATCAAAGGGAGCAGCCGCCCCTGCCAGGCTGCATCGTGAGCGAATGTCCCCAGGTTGGGGGAAAATGAGCTTCCACTATGTCCCCACCCAGGGCTCTTTCTCTCTATGAGGTTGACACATGGGGCAGGCCATAGGACAAGAACAGGCACCTCATTCATGTATTTTGTACACAGTCTGACCAGGGATCAGAGGAGCAGGACAGGCCTGCAGCCCTCAAACCCACAGGCTCATTTCACCCACTGACTCCTGACTCCTGCCTCGTCCTGGCCTGGGCTCACGTCCTCCATGGTTCCAGGGACCTTCCCAGGTGGAGCTGGCCAGGCAGGTGCTGTCTGAGGGGTGACAGCTTGCTTCACAGGCACCTGCGTCCCTCCAGATGACATGGTTACAAGAACGTGGGGTCCCTCAGATGGTGACATGCACAAGCCAGGGCATCTCAGTTAGACTCTGCCCAGTGTGGACAAATTTGATCAAACCCTAGTTGTGCTTCCAGAGGTCAAGAGAAAGGAAGAACACATTTCCCATGCCTTGTCGGGCTCCTCCCCATTTTGCCTACCTGTCACCAGAAATGATGGTCATGAAACTCTTTCTAAATTTATTACCATCACACATATCACTTCTCCTAATTTGGTAACATTCTTCTGTTTTTATTATTGAGACACCTCACACTTCCCTCTGACCAGTTCTGTCCTCGTAACAAGCTCACGCGTCTCTCTCTACCCAGGGAGTCACTGATTCCAAACCGACTTCAGCATCTTCCTTTGAGCATAATGTGACCTGCTGGACTTCAGAGTTTGGTCCAAGACCTCATCGTGCCCTCTAGAGAAATATTCCTCCCAGCAATTGGTCTTAGATCCTGAGTATTAATAACACTTTTCAGATATGGGAGAAACTTAACTTCACATATTCCTAACCCATCTGCCCAATACACGAAGTCCATGAGGCCAGATTCCAGCATGTTCGTGCTCCCCCCTTTGCATGAGTCAGGTCTGTGTTTGCAAACGTCCATCTGTATTTCTGGAAAGATCCACACAGAGTCCTCACATGCCCTATGCAGAGGGAGAAGGGACATTAAGGACCAATGGCAGGGACCATGGCTCTGCTCCAAACCCACCAGCTCCTACCTGTCCCCTCAGTCTTTTCCGAATCATTCTTTGGACTCTGCTCTACCTTTCAGGAGTCACTGGCTCATGTCAGTCACCATCAAGCAGCTGGGAAACACGGCCCCAACCTGTGGCCCCACAGCCTGACTGCAGAGCTGCTCTCCAGGCTGGCTCCTGCTCTCCCTGCCTTATTTGTGCTCAAACACCCAGTCCCAGGCCAGGCTGCCCAGTAACCACATGGTCTAAGGACAATGGGAAGTCCCCTCAGTACCCATCTCTGGGATATCTGAGGACAGCCTCACAGAAACACACCTAGGGGGGCAAAGGGGGACTATGAAGCTAGAAGGGACCTAATGCCCACACATTCCAGGTGAGGACCACAGGGTCAGTCAGGCAGTCAGGGAAGGACCAGGAGAGGCACCAGGGTGGGGGTGGAGGGGCACTCTGGCTCCAGGTCCTGTGTCTGTCCACCACCCACTGCTGCTGCTCAGGTGAGAAAGTCTGTGCATCTCCCAGACACAGAGCAGGTGGCCTCACGTTCTCTGACCCTCAGATCGTCCTGCGTCTGTCTCGTGACACACACACCTGCCTTGGTCTTTTAATCACTCAGGTTGGCTGAGAGGTGAGAGATGCCAACCCTGATTGAGGGATGATTTTAGAGGAATTAAAGGTAGCACCCAGGGAAACCTTCTCTCTGTTATCTGCACAGCGGAGTTACCCAAACCCTCCATCACAAGCAACAGCTCCAGCCCCGTGGAGGATGAGGACTCCGTAGCATTAACCTGTGAACCTGAGACTCAGGACACCACCTACCTGTGGTGGAAAGACGGCCAGAGGCTCCAAGACAATGACAGGCTGGTGATGTCCCTGGACAACAGGACCCTCATTTTACTCAATATCACAAGGAATGACACAGGATCCTATCAGTGTGAAAACAGGAACCCAGTGAGTGGCAGCCGCAGTGACCCAGTCAACCTGAATGTGCTCTGTGAGTATTTTCTGTTCCTCCACAGCCCAGGCTGCAGCCCAAATCCACACGGCCAGAGACAAAGCCATTCAGTCCCTGTGGGGTCCGAGTACACAGACCTTCACCCCTGGACACCCAGGCTGGCCAAGATTCCTGCCCTAGGCAAACCCGGTCAGGCCCAGCCTTGACCAAGAGTAGGAGGGAGGGGCGCTCCTGTCTTGAGATGCTCATGGTCAACAACCTGTGATGAGAGAAACAGGTCAATGTCTCCATGTCTCAGACTCAGGTTATGGTTGGGATTTTTTTTTTCAAGAGACAGGGTCTCATTCTGTTCCCCATGCTGGAGTGCTCTGGAGCGATCACAGCTCACTGTAACCTCCAACTCTTGGGATCAAGTGATCCTCCTGCCTCAGTCTCCTGAGTAGCCAGGACTATAGGCACACACAACCAAGCCCAGTCAGGTTTTTTAATTTTCTGTACAGAGAGGGTCTCCCTGTGATGCCCGGGCTGGTCTCTAACTCCTGGCCTCCCACCTCAGCCTCTAAAAGCACTGGGATTACCGGTGTGAGCTGGGGTACCTGGCCAGCTTGTTACTTTTTAAACAAGATTGTGACAGGATTCAGAGGGCCGCTGTGGCCCTTCTATAGACCAGGAGCTTCCCCTTTCCTCTGATGACATCCCATGTGGCTTTATTCTCTTTGTCCAGATGGCCCCGACGTCCCCACCATTTCCCCCCCAGACTCCTACTACCCTCCAGGTGCAAACCTCCACCTTACCTGCCACGCGGCCTCTAACCCGCCTGCACAGTATTCCTGGCTTATCAATGGGAGTCTCCAGCCACCCACACAAGAGCTCTTCGTCCCCAATGTTACTGTGAATAATAGCGGATCCTATGCCTGTGTCGCCCACAACTTTGCAACTGGCCGCAATAGGACCACAGTCAAGAATATCACAGTTTCCGGTAAGTGAATCCCTGGAGGATTGGCATTGAGTTTTGTCATGGACTATGTCTGCTGTCCAGAAAAGAGCCATAAAGAAGTTTTCTTTCCCAGCCTGTGTCCTGGGCACAAAGGAGTCCCAGCTTCCCCCTGAGCCCTCCCACTGCATCTCTGCAGACTGTCTCCTCCCCTGGCTTCTCTGATTTCACACACCTGACCTTGGGTCCAGCCTGGAATGTGGGGTGGCAGGGGCGGGTTGTGGTGGTGTCCCCTCAGCCCCAGAAAGCCCATCTAGTGGGAGGGGCTTCACAGAGAGGGAGAGAAAGGGTCCTCAAGGTCAAGTGGCTTCTTTCTTTGACTAACACTTCCCTGTCTGTAAATTCTTTGATTTTTTTTTTTTTTACGTTCTCCCTGAGTTACAAAGAACATAGGTGGTTTCGAAACAGGCTCACATTATTTTTCCCCAAATGAGAAGATGAAACCCCCTCAGAGGAGGGGTGAGCATCTCGGAGCTCTGCTCCCTGCTCTGCTCCCGGCTGGCTTGGTGACCGGCCCTGCTCTGACTCCATCCGGGCTGGGACGGGCCATGTGCAGAAGGTGTCCGGATGGCCTGGCCTGAGTCTGGCTACATTGTGCTGCCAGAGCCTTCCCCAAGTGAAGCTGCAGGGAAATGGGAAGAGAGAGAGCCTCAGGGCAGACTCCTGAGAGTGTCCTGGCTCTGAAGTCACCAAAAAACATAAAGCTGTGGTCACAGCACCTGTGACCCACTGCAGAGAACAGCGAGTGACGCCCCCGTGGAGAAACAGAAAGATCCACCCGCAGAGTCTCTACAAGGGCGGAAGTGGCAGCTGCAAAAAGTTTCTATCTGTAGAGAATGTAAGAGTCTCAGCCTTTTATTAACACCCGTCCACAGACCAGGAAGTGAAAGTCCTTCAGATTCAGAAATCCTTGAGGTTGAAACTTGTTCCGATACAAGGTCATGAAGACTGGCTGGGCCTTCTTCATTCCTAATAAATGATTTAGTGGAAGAAAGCACCTCTTTTGTGTGTAGAGCGACAGCACTAGGAAGGGGCCTGATCCCAGGAAGCTCTAGGAAAAGGTCACACAGTCAATGGGAGAAACATCACACCTGACGATGAGGCTGCAGGACATGTGCGCTGAGAAAGGGTCCCGGAGCGGATGCCACAGAGATGTCCGGGGGGTAGTCAGGGGTCATCCTGGTGTCAGAGGGGAGGTGCCGCCCTCTCCTTACAGATCATCTCCTGAACAAAGACACCTGACCTTCTACAGAGGGTCACAGCTGTCCCCTGGGTGGTCACTTTGCACAGCTCCCTGTGGGGCCTGACAGCTGGCTGAGACCTCTGAGGAAGGGGCATGGCCCCAGGCCCAGGCCACTCTCAGTCCTCTGCTTGTCCACAGAGCCACAGCCAGTGGCACAGCCCTCCATCCAGGCCAGCAGCAGCACAGTCACGGAGGACAAGGACTCTGTGGTCCTGACCTGCCTCACAAATGACACTGGAATCTCCATCCGGTGGATCTTCAACGACCAAAGTCTGCAGGTGACAGAGAGGATGCAGCTGTCCCAGGGCAACATCAGTCTCAGCATAAACCCTGTCGAGAGGGGGGATGCCGGGGAGTATCAGTGTGAGGTCTCCAACCCAGTCAGTCACTACCGAAGTGACATCTTCAGGCTGACCGTGGAACGTGAGTGACCCTGGGTCCCTCCACTCCTTGCTTTCCTAATCTCACTGCTGGGGGATGTAAAATGATCCAAGCCACAGGGAGGGGGACACTCTCCCAGAGTCTATGGAGAAACATGGTCCATCCCGGGATTAGACTCGCCTGGTCATTCTCTTCGTTCTGATGCATTCCAGGTGTTTTACCTTGACCTTGATCTTGTTTGTGCAAGACACCCAAACTCTTGAGTCCCGGTTTCCTCACTGTAAAACTGTATCACAAGACCTGGATCTCAGGGTGGTAGTGACAATGGTTACTCAGAGATTAGTGAGGGTAAAGTCCTAAACAGGGTCATAAAGAGTGAGTGCTCAGTCGATGCCACCCTTTTTATGAGCGCTGTGGTTACTAGCTGTTGAGTTGAGCAGACGTCGGTTAAAGTTTTGTGTCATGGCTTCCCAGTTCTGTGATCTTCAGTGACTTACTAAAGCACTTTGAGTCTCAGAATCTAAATCTGCCGTTGGGGGTGACGCCCTGTCTGGAAAGACTCGAACCGTGTTTTCCTCTGCTCTCACTCCCCAACAAAAACCCTCAGCACAACCAGGCTTCTGTGAGCAACTGTGGGAGGTTCCCCACACACAAAACAAGCAACTGACTGCACGACACACTCCACTTGGTGCCCTTCAATCTGATTCTGCCGCTATGTACCTGCAGATGGCAGTGAATCCCATGGGTGAGGGCTCAGTCCCACCAGATAAACCCCCTTCGCCCGAGTTCAGGCCTTGGGAACATGTGACCAGCCAGCTTCCAGCGAGGTTCCCAGGACTCCCTGTCGGAGCTCAAGTAATTTGCTGGAGCAGCTCACAGACCTAAGGCAAGCACATCCGTGTGTCTACCGGTTTATTATGAAGGATATTACAAAGAATACAGATGACAGGATCATCGGGCGAGGTGTGGGGAGCGTCCGAGTTCACCCTGGTGCGCCACCCTCCACGAACCTCCATGGGTTCAGCTATCGGAAGGTCGCTGAGCCCAGCCCTTGTGGGTTTCCATGGAGGCGCCATTATTCAGGCATGATTGGTTGAACCATTGGCTATTGGTGGTCATGGTGATGTCCGGTCTCCTCCCACCCAGAGGCTGGGGTGCAGCTGAGAGTGCCACCCCTCTAACCCAGCCTTGGTCTCTCCAGGGACCAGCCCCATCCCGAAGCTGCCCGGGGCTGCACCCCACAGGCAGTCATCAGCACACGAAGACATTGCTTTTTAGAAGTCCTCAGGCAGGAATCACAGTTGAAGGCCAAAAACATACTTCACAATATCACACACCCCTCGCTATGATGAGGGCAGTATCAGAGGAGGTTCAGAGTTGTTTCCCCCTGTGCCTGGCACCAGAAGGCTCCTGCAAACAGCCAATGGCCGTCATGGCCATGAATGAGCACCGCCCTGGCTGGGAAGGGCCTGCCGAGAACACTGTCACACGATGGAAAGAGGAACTGGGAGAGGCGTGAATATGAGGACAGTGGCATTAAGGGCACCAGGGCAGGGCGAGGTCCAGGCTGCGTGTGGAGAAGGTAGAGTCCAAGCAAGTCCACGGCATCACCTGAGAGACTGAAGATGATGCCACCACGGAGAGCAGGGGAGTCGGTTATGGTGACAACACCACAAGGGGCACAGGGACATGGTGGCATTTCCTTCTTCCCTAACCACATCCCATCCCTCAGGGCCCCTTGTGGTCTCCCCAGGAGCAGACTTGGGGCTCATCCCGTTTCTTCTCCTTTCAGCAAAAGAAAACGCCCCGGGTGTCCCCGTGGGGGCCATCGCTGGCATCGTGATCGGGGTCCTGGCCTTTGTGGCTCTGGTGGCTGCCCTGGGGTGTGTCCTGTTCCTCAGAAGGACTAGAAGGTACCAGGGCTTCCCACTTCCTCGTCCTGTCCCCAGCTGAGCCAGGCAAGAGAAATGAGACCCCGTCCTGTGTTCTGGGCCTGGCTCTCCCAGGCCTCCCGAACCCCAGAGGTTCTTCCCTCTCGTTCCATCCGGCCCCTCCCTCGCCAGCTGCGGCTTGGGCTGTGTCCTCAGCAGCGTGGTCCTCTGGGAGTGAGGCACAGTAGAGGACAGGCCCTGAGTGTGTCCTGGTTCCCTCACAGCTCCCTGCAGCTCTGCCTGGGTAAGTTCTCAGCGTCGGCGCCCCTACCGTCCATTGCAATCCGCCCACAGGGGGCGCGATTTGCAGGCTCAGGGGCTGAGGGGGTCCTGGCCAGGGTCCCACAGTGGAGAGAGGGAGAGCCTGGACAGACTGGGGCCAGCGGCTCCAGATGCTGACGGCAGCGACTGGTGGCCGCAGAGACGTGGCTCCACGTCCTGCAGTGTCCTCATGTCTCTTGCCAGGTGGGTGGAGAGCGGCGCCAAGGCTTGGTCACATGTCAGTATATTTTGGCCTGAGCCAAGCGTCTGGCCACAGCAGGGACAGCGATTTCAGGGAGGATCTAAGAGTCCTGTGTCTTCCCCAGTGTCCTGAGACGCGGCTGGCCGGGCTTTCCCTGCAGGGCCTGGACCCTCCCCTCAGTGCAGCCCTCCTCTGGCCCACATCCGCCTCAGAGTCCTTCCCTCTGGGCCAGGACACATGTGGCTCTTAAGGCCTTAACTCAGCTCCCTCTCCTGCGCCCACCACGGAGCTGATGGGGAAAGGAAATCTCCACACCCCTTCCTGGAAATGAGGTCTCCTCCCTGTCCCCTGTTCTAACTCTAAAGTTCTGAATTTAACCCTGCACCCTCACAAATAAGCCTGACCTTTCCTAGGGCCAATGGCCAGCGTGACCTCAGGGAGCAGCAGCCCCCCAAGTCCATCAGCGGTGAGTGCCCTTCCCCCGCAGGTGTGGCTGGAGCCCAAGGCCTTCCCCACAGTGTCTACTCCTGCCACTCACTCCCTGGGGGCTCACCCTTCCTTGGGCCCCAAGCAAGAGTCTCCTGAACATCAGCCCAGGGGACCCCAACTGGCTGGGTCAGCGCCGAGCTGTGGCTTCTGGGTCACGGGTCACCTCCTCAGCCTCACTTGCTCACAAGGCTCCTACAGTGGTGAGAGGGTCTCTCCCTGGGAGACGTTCTCTCCTTCATTCTCTGGGAGCTGAGGACCCCATGGCCTCCTGGCGGAGGGGCCCAGGCTCTCCTCACCCTGGAGCTAACTCCTGTCTCTGCCCCCAGGCCCTACTGCCTCCAACCGCCACACGCCCTCGGTAAGCCCAGCCCCTCCCCAGCCCCTTCTTAAGGGGACCCCAGCTGTGTAGGCTCAGACCCAGGGGACTGTCAACCCCCAGCAAGACCCTCCCTACCCCAGAATGGCCAGGACAAGGTTAGGCCCACCCTGGCCAGGAGCAGGGCCTGACCTCAGGGCCAGGACCACCCACGCCCTGTCCTGACCCACCCTGAGGAGACCCCAGAGTCCAGCAGGAGCAGAGCGGGTGCTGGGTTGTCCCTCAAGGTCCCGGGTTAACAAGGGTGCAGGGAGGGCACAGGGCCGGGACTGGGGTGTCGTGTCCAGGCAGAGGGGCTGAGCTGAGGATGGAGAGCTGGTCCCTCCTGAGAGGAAATGACCCACAGTAGACTCAGAACATAAGTCCTGGCTGGTCAGAGACAAGACTCTTCCAGTCTCAGCCCCGGGGCCTCCATGACCCTCTGTCCCTGTCCCCTGATGTGGCTCTCTATCCCCACCCAGGTCCCCCAACCTGACCCCAGGACAGCCAGCCACACCTATGAGGTGAGTGTGGCCCTCCATGTTCTGGTTCCACAGGCCCCTGGGAACCCAGGATCTGTCCCCACCCCACACCTGGCTGAGCTTCGAGACTCAGGAAACTGCAGTGGAAACAGGAACAAGGGGTGGTGAGCAGAGCAGGGGGGGCCTGGGAGCAGGAGCCCCCTGAGCACAGCCGGGTCCAGCCACACAGCAGCCCGCTGGGGCCAGAGCTGGGAGACGCCGCCCCCTGCTCTGAGAAGCCTGCAGGGGTCAGAGGCCTCTTCTTTCTCTTTGCAGGAACTGCTGCACCCCGACACACACGTGTACTGCCGCATCAACCCTAGAGCAGATGTGGCTTCTTAGCTTCCTCCAGGAACTGCTCCTGTGGGCTGAGAGTCCCCTAAGTCCCCAACCCTTTGGAGGGGGCAGTTCGTGGAGCCTGAGCCAGAAAAATCAGCTGAGCCCTGGGCAGACTCTGGGTACTTGGGCTGCAGATTGGGGTCCCTCCTAGCACCTTCCTTCATGCAGCAAGAACAACACGGAGCTCACCCAGCTGCAGCTGGGGAGGGAAGTCGGGTGGATCGGCGAGTCAGGGAGAATAGGCTGGGCTTGACCTTGGGGGCTGGATGGAAGCAGAGGTGAGTTCTGTGTGTCTGTCCCCATCATGGAGACCTGGCCTGTCATTATGTTGGAGTCACCTGCATACTGGTTAGACCACAATACTCTCCCGGTCTCCTGATGTTCCCCCATACCTCTCACCTTCTCTTTGGTAATAATGATCAATTTTTTTAAATGAAAAGATTGTAAGCCATAGTTCTGTTTTGAGAGAGGGAGGGTGGGAAAAACAGAGAGGGGAGAGAGAGAGAGAGAGAGATTGACTCAGCACAGATGTAACTGGAAAATCCTACCTCACAGGCCCCTCTGCAGTCTCTGCTCCTCAGGACCACGGACAGTGACTCTGGGACTTGACTTCTCAGGGGCTGCAACAGGGTCAAGCAGCTGTGTGTGTGTGTGTGTGTGTGTTGGGGGGGGGGACAGGAAAAGCTAGAAAAAGCTGCAGGAAAAGCTAGCCATTCTATTCTACCTGAGAAATACTCAGGGAGGGAGAATCTGATTCTTTAATTTCTCTGATTTGTATATTTTGACCCCTTTGCACGTGTCAGGATGTATGACTGTTGGCACATCCATTGCCACTCCCTGCAGGGCTGATTTTTGCACCCAGAGTGTGACCTCCAAGAGGCTGACAGCCCATGCTGGCCTCATAGAGTGTCTCCCTAGCCCAGAGACTCAGGTGACTGTCTCTACCTACAACACACTGGGGACATTCCATGATTAATTTCTGAGCCCCCGTGCCTGACCTTGGAACCTCACCCATCACCCAGCTTGGAGCAGCCCCTGAACACAGCGTCCTGCTCCCCAACCCCCGCTGAGCCCCAGGAAGCTGAGCTGAGCTGGGCCTCCAGGCTACTCTGGCAGCTGCTCCGGGCTGAGCCTTGTCACCCCCAATTTATTCATTCCTGCCCATGTCACACCCATGGAGCAAACTCAGGTCCTATAGACCCAGCCCTGCCTTCCAGGGACTCAGTCCAGATGATCCAGTGTGTCTGCTGGTCACACACAGCATTGAGGAAGCTCAGTGTGAGGTCACCTGGGTGCTCAGGGGAGGGGTGCCCCTGTGACCTGGCTGGGTCAGGGCCTTCCCTCACACCCTGCATCTGAGCAGCCACCAGGGTCCTCTGGGCCCTGTCCTCACACTCAGTGTCTCTGTCCTGGGTCACACTCGTCACCTCTCCTGGACACAGCCACAGCTCTGATGGGTGGGGTTGAGGCTCCGTCTCCCGAGTCCTTCCCACTCTGCCCACGTGAACCTGCTCAGCCCCATCCAACCCTCCCCTCACCAGGGCCTTGTGCTCTGGGTCCCTGGACACCCGTGTCCACGTCACGCAAACTTCAGAACAATGACAACCACCCAGTCCTGACACGCTCACCCAAGGCAGGAGTCCAGGGAGCCTCCCCAGGTGGGACACCTGTGGCTCGCACACTTGAGGCTTCCACGTGCAGGGGTGTCCTCATCCACCCCCTCCCTCCCTCCCCAGGGTCAGTGGGCACCACAGGCTGCCTCAGACCACCAGCCCCATCCCCCAGACCACTCAGTCTATGCTGACTGTCTGCATGGGGGAAATGCGGGAAAAACAAGCAACCCGAAAACCAACCAACCAGGCAACAACAAAACCCCACCCCTCCTCACATCCATGACAGGGACAGACACACAGAACTCACCTCTGCTCCTGTCCAGCCCCCAAGTTCAATCCCAGCCCATACCCCTTGACCCAAAACTCCCCACGTCTTCCCTCCCCAGCTGCAGCCTGGATCAGCTCCTTGCTGCTCTTGCTCCATGGAGGCAGGTTCCAGCCTTTCTGTCACTGCCTGGCACGCTCTCCCTTCCCTCTCTCCTGTGAGCCCAGACCTAGCCGTCCACCTGCCAAAGTCACCAGCCACCTGCGCCCCTCCATCTTCCCCGCCTCTGCCCATGGAGGTGACAGCCCCTCCTGGATCACCCACTGCTCAGTGTGGGCCTTGGGTGTAATCACAGGTTCTGCAGGGGTCAGCTGGGCTCAGGTCACCTGTGGGACCAGGACCCCCAGAGGGACCAGCAGAGGGAGCTGCTCAGGGCGTCTCAGGGGCCCTGGCATCTGGTCTACACCAGGGGTGTGGCCAATAGCTCTTCCTGAAAGGATGAGTGGCGGACAGAGGGTGGACACAGGGACATGGGAGCTTTCTACTCACAGAATTATTCCCAGAAAGGAGAGGAGACGGGAGATGGACGTTCTCATACACTCCTGCAGACTGCTGTTGACCAGTGTCCACTTCTGAGAGCGTCCCCGAGCTGGGACTCTGAGAAGGCAGGACTGCGCCTGTGCTGCCTCTGCTCAAGCCAGCGACCAGCCCCCAGCCTGGCACAGGGTGTCCCATAAAAGCATGTGGAATGAGTGAGATCCAGGATCCACACTGCACACGGGAGAGACAGGTACGAGGATGGTCACTGCAGCATGGCCTGTCAGTGCCACCAGGGAGAAGCAGCCTCAAGCCCGCAGAGGCATGTGGGTAGAGCATCAGAGTGTAGCCATGCAGTGGAATAGTGGGGACCAGTGAAACACATGATTGGAGCAAATCCTCATGTACTAAGGAAGCATGTTTTTGTAAAATAATGTTACCAAGCAATAATATAATTCAATAATGTTTGGCTACAAAAACTATGAGTGGGACAAATGAGAAAGTGTAGGAGGATTCACACCAGCTGCAAACAGTGCTCACAGCCTGGAAACTGAGCTGGGGCAGAGGCGGAGTTCGGGGTCTAGACACCGTATTGCACATGTTTGCATTGCTGGAATTTACAGCAAACATGCTTTCCTATGTGATTTCTCTAACAACAGATGAAGCCATTTGAAATGACCCAGGAAGAGTGTGACATCCTCAGGGCTCAGAGCCCAGACCTCCATCCTACCCCCGCACTGCTGAGTCCCCTCTGATACCCTCAGAGCAAACAGCCCCTTAGGTGATGTGACGGGAACATGACGGCCACTCTCTGAGCCAGAAGAACATGGCCAAGGTGCCACTGCAGGGAAAGGCCTCATGCCCATGTCACCCTTGAACTCTCTGTGCCCCAGGAAGATCCAGGGGGTCCTAAGGTGGCCTGGCCCTGCCCTGCAGAAAGAGGCCATTGTCCATGTCTGCCCAGTGGTCAGTGGCCAGAGCACTAATCCGAACCCTGATCTTTGCCTGGTGCAGGACCCAAAAGGTCCTGAGCCCTGACATGGTCACTGTGCCTCATTCCTGATGGAACTGTCTATGGCTCCCACTGTCTGCAGGACCCGAACCCCACCCCCACCCTGCAGGTGCCTCTGGGTACTCGTTGGCCGCACAGCATCCTGCCCCAGTGATAATTGTGCCCTGAGTCCTCAACATCCCCACTGAGCTTATTCCGGAGATAAGCGTTGGCAGACCTCATGCATGCCAATGGCTGTGGCCCGATTTAAAAGTAATTACAAGAAATGTGGGTCCAGCATGGTGGCTCACTCCTATAACCCTAGCACTCTGGGGGGGTCAAGGCCGGGAATCGCTTAAGGTCAGGAGTGGGAGACCAGCCTGGGCAAGAGCAAGACCCAGTGTCTACTAAAAATAGAAACAATTAGCCATGCGTGGTGGCATGCGCCTGTAGTCCCAACTACTCCGGAGGCTGAGGCAGGATAATTGCTTCAATGCAGGAGGTTGAGGCTGCTGTGAGTTAGAGTGATGCCATGGCACTCTAGCCCAGGCAACACAGCAAGACTCTTTCAAAAAAGAAAAAAAGAAAGAGGCCGGGCGCGGTGGTTCACGCCTGTAATTCTAGCACTCTGGGAGGCCGAGGCAGGCGGATTGCTCGAGGTCAGGAGTTCAAAACCAGCCTGAGCAAGAGTGAGACCCCATTTCTACTATA